TACACCCGCTTATGTCTGTATGAGCTGAGATGCGTGCATTCTACACTTACACATTGTTGGTGGCCCATAGCAAGCAATACCAGTGTGTCCAGATCCATATAAAACTATACATCTGAACAGTACTAAAAACTTGTGTAAATGAGATCTAAGATTGTACAATCAGATTGGGGAAAAAAAACTGGGGGCAGCTTATAAACAATTTGAATGTTCTGCTTGTAATACAGCAATGTGGCCACTAGATGCCGCTGAGGAGCATAGGTAATAAATACCTATTTCCTGAAACTGCTTTAGCACCATCTATTGGCCATAATGTCATATTACAAACAGAGCATTTACATTTAATTTCACTTGTAAAGAAAAAACAAATGAACATTCATTTGTGGATATATTTGGAAGAACGTTCACAGATAATCACAGAGCGAGCGGTCCTACGAATTTAGTATCTGGCCATATCAGGTTTGCTTTGGTTTCTTAAAGGGCAACCAAAGCCAAAACTCTTTTTGTTTTAGTTTTAAGTCTTTAATTTTGGATGAAGTGGAGAGGGATTAGAACACTTGTCAGGTTTTTCTTTTTTTGCTGTCTATGTCCCCGTTAGGAATATTCATCCATTTATCACTGGAAGTGTAAGAGAACCCCAAATTTAGGGTTGTCACCAGAACAGGAACAGATGGGACATCTTCCAAAGGGGACACTAGTTGTGGTGACTACTAGGGACTTCCCTCACTTTGAAGGGATTTCCTCTCACTTCCTGTTGTGGCTGTCAGACAGAAAGTGACGGGAAATCTCCCAAATGGGACACAGATGGTCAAAATAAAAAGCTGACATGGATTATAACCCTCCCTTAGCAGTTTAATGTCTTATTATCAATTTATTTATGGAGATCTGGTTTTAGGACTACGTTTTTCTTTTTTCATGCCCGCCTGCTCGTTTTTCATGCTCACACTTGGCCGTGCTACACATAAACCACATTGCTTTGCCATTGGTGCTGATACAGTCAAGTCACCCGCCGCAAGGCCACACCTCATTCGTTCCTCACGCTGTCAATATTCCATTCAGACCCGCCCCTTCCTCGTGTGTCAGAAGGAAGTAGGCGGGTCTCCTATCTATCGGAAGCATCTGTTGGCTGCTTGAAATTCCTCTACAGAGCTCCTGCTGGCGGCCATTGGCTCTGGACTTCCCTAACCCGACCGCCCACTTTCATTGTTGCGTCACTCGGTGACAAGGAGATGTCAGGATTGGGCAGCAGAGTGGAATGGGAAATGGCGATTGGCTCGGAGAGTCGTCCGTCACCTTTGGGTAGGCGGTGCCGGAGGAAGGCGAGCTGTGGGAGCAGCCACTGGGCATTGATTGTTTTTTGCTGCTGAGCTGTCAGTTGAGTTGCCGTCCTTCCTGCGCCCGCCCTGACTGTGTTTTTTTTTATCCGATATATTCTTATTTTTTTTATGAATATTGGGGCTCTTCCTGGATGAACATTATTACCCAGAATGCACAGGACTGTGGGCATGTAGCTGCCAGCTAGTGTTGTCAACCCCTCCCCCCCTCTCTCTCCAAGATGGCGGTCCAGGAATCAGCTGCTCAGCTCTCAATGGCTCTGAAGGTTCAGGAGTACCCAACTTTAAAGGTGTGTCATGCTGTGCAGTCACAGGGGCTCCAGTGTGCCCAGAGGGGGGACAGACACTCACATGGCTCTGGCTGGGTGCCAGCCTCTCCCTCATTCATAACAATATGTAGAGTGCCATCCCTAGGGTGGAGTGTGGCATCTATGGGGGTGGTACTCGTTCTAAGAGGGTGCTGCCCCTTTATGGTGGAGTATGGCACCTATAGGGGGTGTCACCTACATGTAAGAGGCTGCTGCCCCTTTATGGTGGAATATGGCACCTATAGGGGGTGTCACCTACATGTAAGAGGGTGCTGCCCCTTTATGGTGGAGTATGCACCTATGGGGGGTGGCACCTGCATGTAAGAGGGTGCTGGCCCTATATGGTGGATTATGGCACCTATAGGGGGTTTCACCTGCATGTAAGAGGGTGCTGCCCCTTTATGGTGACCTATCGGAGTAACACTACATATAATCGGGTGTTGTCCCCTTCTGGTGGAGTATGGTATCTCTAGGGGGTAGTACTCCTTGTAGTTGGGTGATGTCCCCTTCTGGTGGAGTATAATATCTCTAGGGGGTAGTACACCTTGTAGTTGGGTGCTGTCCCCTTCTGGGGGAGTATGATATCTCTAGGGGGTAGTACACCTTGTAGTTGGGTGCTGTCCCCTTCTGGGGGAGTATGATATCTCTAGGGGGTAGTACACCTTGTAGTTGGGTGCTGTCCCCTTCTGGGGGAGTATGATATCTCTAGGGGGTAGTACACCTTGTAGTTGGGTGCTGTCCCCTTCTGGGGGAGTATGATATCTCTAGGGGGTAGTACACCTTGTAGTTGGGTGCTGTCCCCTTCTGGGGGAGTATGATATCTCTAGGGGGTAGTACACCTTGTAGTTGGGTGCTGTCCCCTTCTGGGGGAGTATGATATCTCTAGGGGGTAGTACACCTTGTAGTTGGGTGCTGTCCCCTTCTGGGGGAGTATGATATCTCTAGGGGGTAGTACACCTTGTAGTTGGGTGCTGTCCCCTTCTGGGGGAGTATGATATCTCTAGGGGGTAGTACACCTTGTAGTTGGGTGCTGTCCCCTTCTGGGGGAGTATGATATCTCTAGGGGGTAGTACACCTTGTAGTTGGGTGCTGTCCCCTTCTGGGGGAGTATGATATCTCTAGGGGGTAGTACACCTTGTAGTTGGGTGCTGCCCCCGTCTGGTGGAGTATGATACCTCTAGGGGGTAGTACTCCTTGTAGTTGGGTGCTGCCCCCGTCTGGTGAAGTATAATATCTCTAGGGGGTAGTACACCTTGTAGTTGGGGGCTGTCCCCTTCTGGTGGAGTATGATATCTCTAGGGGGTAGCACTCCTTGTAGTTGGGGGCTGTCCCCTTCTGGTGGAGTATGATATCTCTAGGGGGTAGTACTCCTTGTAGTTGGGTGCTTCCCCCTGTCTGGTGGAGTATGATATCTCTAGGGGGTAGTACTCCTTGTAGTTGGGGGCTGTCCCCTTCTGGTGGAGTATGATATCTCTAGGGGGTAGTACACCTTGTAGTTGGGTGCTGTCCCCTTCTGGTGGAGTATGATATCTCTAGGGGGTAGTACTCCTTGTAGTTGGGGGCTGTCCCCTTCTGGTGGAGTATTGGAAATTTGAGGCAGTGCGTTCTGGCCAGAATCGGGCCGGAACGCACTGCAACTGGTGTGAACGGGCCCTTATATATGTGGGTGTCATCCCCTTTATAGGCCATCATTGGACCGGAACGCACTGTAACTGGTGTGAACGGGCCATAAGGGTGCCGCCTCTATACCGTAAGGTCTGGTGTATGTCTGGCTGGTACCCTTTATACCGTGTTTCCCTGAAAATAAGACACTGTCTTATATCTTTTGGGGCTGCAAAAAAACACACGAGGTCTTATTTTCGGGGTAGGTCTTATTTTAATTTTTTTTAATGCACAACAATCCACACTTATGTAGAAAAGTCTACATGTATGCATATACAAAAATATGGTGATCAGGGCAATCAGGGGTGTTGTACCTTTCCAAGAGCAATTTGCTAACCAATCGCTGGCCAGAATGAGCGAAGCGCGCTTTCACTATCGATTCCTCACAGGCGGAGTGCATTTGGTATCACTCCGCCTGTGACAGGAGCCGGCGCTATAGAGGAGGCATCGGCTTATGCGGCTCTGCTCCCTCCAGTGACCCCTTGCTTCCTCTAGCACTGGCTTCGTTGGCACCGCTGATTCTCTCCCGCGGCTCTTCAAGTTCCCCCTTATGCCACCACCGGCCCTGGGAATGGTCACAACTAGGTCTTATTTTCAGGGTAGGTCTTATATTTTAGCAATTCCCAAAAGTAGTACTAGGTCTTATTTTCGGGGTAGCTCTTATTTTCAGAGAAACAGGGTATGTATTGCTGCTCCAACTGTTATCTAAGGGACTGGTAAATGTTCTGATATTCCGCTTCTTGGATGAGTATGGCATTTATGAGGGGTGGCACTGCCTGCAATAAAGCGTGTAAGTCAGCCCAGTTCTCCAGGAAACCAAAACCTTCCTTCTGACACCAGCTCCGGAGCCACTTGTTAAGCTCCCTCAACTCGCGCTGTCTGTCCGGAGTGGCTCTTGGCACCGGCAGTATCTCTGAGAAAACTACCGTGGAGGTCCTTTCATGCCGGCTGATTGGGAGGCTGATTGTGGCCCTGGCACCTCGGTGACATAAGGAAGAATCGTCAGAATATGCAAATAAGGGCTGATGACGATGATGAGGCACCAGACTGTGGCCAGCTCAAGACTAGACTGAATAGCTCCTGAGTTTTATATATGAATTGACCCACCAATGTTGGCTCCCTCCATTTACAGGAATCTGTTATCAGAATACACAAAAGCCTCTGATGGCTTCTCCCAGAGTAGTGAAGCTTCATTGTGACTACCCCAAAAACTAGCATGCAACCAGTGGATGGGTAAAGACCCCCATGTGTACATCAGGACAAACATATGCCGGCCTTTTTGCTAAGATCAAGTGTAGTATCTGTTCTTATCAGTTGTCGGGGACAGAACGGCCGTCGTCTCCTATGGAGAGAGGGTGATGGCGGCTTAGTAATTCCTGGTGTAATTGGTGGGTGCTGGAGGAGGTTCAGGCCACTGGAGTATACGACCCTTTGCAATGGGTGGGCTCCGGTGGAACGATCTCTTAAGGTGCTACCTTATGATGGGAATGGAGAAAAGCTTTTTTTGCATTCCGGCCCCTAAGGCCTGTCAGCGTGGTGCACTGGCACTTTTGATTTATTTATTGCACCTCATGCACGATTGGCACTTTTTGATTGAAATTTTGACCCACAGATGACTGAGGGAGCAGGTTCCTCCGGGGCCTTTTCCCGATGTTGGGGAGGAGATTCTGTGTCCTTATATAGGGTTCTCTGTCTCCTCCCACCCAGGGGTTCTCTCTTCGGGAGAGCCCCCTACCTAGTACGGTGAGGGACCTGTTCCGGCAGGTCCCCAAAGGATCGGGGTCCGCCGGTCTTCGGGTAGGTGGACCAAACAGTCTCAACCCCTGTCAGGAGCCTTGCGCCCCGGGGTGTCGGGAAATTGTGGCCCCTTCTTTATTGAAGGGCCAAGCACCCTTGTGCACTTTTTTACGAGTCTTGTGATTTCACGATTCACTTTTTTTGCTCACAGGGGATTCGTTTTTGATGCACGTTCCATGGGCTCAAAAAAAAAAATAATAATAAAGAAACATATGCCGTATATCTTTGCAATACATGCATATTTTCCTGTGTTTTCTCCCTTTTATAGACTCTGCAAGTACAGAAAAATATCTTCCAGAACTGCACTCGACTCCTAAGTTTTGTGGGCTGACAACACATGTTGCAGCTGTCTTTTGCTAAACTACTTAAACCTTCCCATTCTCTGAGCTCTACAACATAGACCCTAATCATTCTGTAGTCCCAGGATAAGAACCAGGAGGGCTAATTAGACTTCTTGAGGTAACACAGGAAGTGAGCACGGGATAGATAGCTCTGAATTTCTGACACGATGAACAGGTATATTTTCACTTCTAGTACGGATGTGACAAAAGCACGTTCAAAGGTATATGTAACAGGCTGAAAGAGAGAGAATAAGAGGTGTTTTATTTTTAGGGTTAACACACACTTCTTTTTATATCATGTTGTTTTTACATAAACGTGTTTTTGTCCTTTATTGGTATACAGGGTGCCATCTTGTTGCATTGGAATAAAACCATCGTTTGGTAGTATACAGCTGTTTTTATGTGGAAGCTTGAGTGATTATATTTATCAAAGTGTCCGGAGAAAGATCGTTTCTTTAGGTGACAAAACGTATCCGTCCAATATTTAGATAACCTATTTGCCTTCACAGTAGAATACTCCAAAATACTCAGGGCGATGTCTACTACCATAGCCCACCTGACAACATTCCCATGCTGTCTTTTCTCTGCATCATCCCACTGTCTAATCTCCGTTGAGTTTAGGGGGATGACAGCATGGCACTATTGGAGCTTAGAGGGATGACATCATGGCACTATTGGAGGTTAGAGGAATGACATAATGGCGCCATTGGTGCTTAGTGGGATGACATCATGGCGCCATTGGAGCTTAGAGGGATGATATCATGGCGCCGTTGGAGCTTAGAGGGATGACATCATGGCGCCATTGGAGTTTAGATGGAGACATTAGAAGGATGATATGGCACCTTCCATTTGTGCCTAGTGATTGGCTTCCCAGGCCCAAACACTGTCATATACAGTATAGGGAGGTCAAAAGGAAGTCCCACTCCATTAGAAGAGGTTCCAGCATTGCGGTGAGACGGCATGGGAGCGTAGCCAATAGAGAAGTGAAGGGAGTGGAAAGGGTGGACCCGAGAACTGGGGTCACTGTTTGTGAAGGAGCGGGCGCAAGATTTCTGGGTTTCTGTACATAGGCATTTGGACACCTGAGTATCCCGGGTGAGTATAACCTGCTGACCAATCATGAAGCCGGGTGGTACGGCATGACCCGCTGCCAAGCTTCCTGATTGGTCAGGAAACCAGGCT